AGAAAAGTCTCCTTCCTCTACCTGTCTCAGTTTCTAGACAGAAATACATTTCCCTTTAAGTGAGGAAAAAGATATATATGTTTAAAAGACAGTCCAGGCCCTTTATAAAAGCACTTACTTTGAAGGAACAGGACAGATTATATATTCAAAACAAGAGCGCCTTCTTAAAGAGCAGGCTCAGAAGTTGTTCAATGGCCATGGCCTTGATTTGTGCTTGCGGCTCTGGTCCTGCTGGGCATGGCTAACGAAAGGCTGGCAGCCGGCACGGCGTGGTCCTCTGGGCTGCTGCGTCAGGATGACGCTCCAGAACAGCTATCGGGACAGGCTGTGAGCCAGTCAGCAGGACAGTTTTATTTCTGTGCTGAGAGCGCTGCTTCCTAGGGATGGGAAAATATCCGCGGCTGAGTTACCCCAGGCATCAGCAGCAGCCGTGGCACCCCAGGTGATCTGTGCTCTGGAGGGAGGTGGAAAGAGGGAGGCAAGGTCACCTGTCCGCAGAGGACAAGCAGCCCCCCGAAAGGAACTCACTCGAGGTGACTGGTCTCCTTGTGGTCATTCCTTGCTTCTGCCAAGGGTATGACTCAGCTCAGCCAGGGCAGTGACGGACCACACTGTTTACCTCCCTAGCTCAGGAAAGCCGAGTTCTAGGCAGTGACTGAGAAGAGCTGGAGGGGCAGCCACGGTGGCCCCTGTGTCAGTGGGTCAAGAGCCTGTGGCTTCACTGCAGGGAGATATAAGGTCTGTCTCTCCTAGTCAATGCAATGCTTGTACGATGGCGTAGGACTTGGAAACATGAGAAGTATGAGGGCGGTGGGGGAGCACGGAAGCAATCAGTCCTATAATTGAGGCCCCAGAGCAGTAAGTGTTGAGAATTAATGTACTCATTTTCTATGGGTGTCAAGAGTAAAGATTGTGGGGTTGGTGTAAAAGCTTCTGATGACTTTGTCCATTTACGCCTGGATGACACTGTGACCCAAAAGCAAGGCAGACATTCAGTGAGTGCTCAGGGAAGTCTGCTGTGAGCTTCAACTGTCAGACAGTCCATACCTGTGAACACACTGCACAGAGAGCGTGCACAAGTCTAGACTTAGGACTTGATGGGGTCGGGTGAGGTCAACAACCTTGGAATGAGTCTCGGTTTGGAAGATTTAAGCAAGAAAACAAGTTATGGAGCTGTGGATTTCCTTCATCGTGTAGAGTTTGGGGCCAAGGAAGGTGAACTGATGAGAAACGTCCCGTGTCAGGAAAGGGGATCCCAAGCAGACGGGAGGCCGAGTGGAGTCTGCGGGGCCCTGGAACTCTGTTGTCTCTAAGCAACCACGGATAACACACGAATCTCTGAGCTTTGCTTTGCACATGAGATGTTACGATCCTTCAGATCTTAGTGCCCCATTCCTCTAAGTCCCACTACCTCCCTAGCACATGCGCGGACACAGAAAAACATCCAACGAGCCAAGATTTTCTCGCCACCTCTCCCATTCCTCTTCCGTTGCCTCTTGGCCTAAGCCAGTAAATGTTCATGAAGAACCATGCCGTGGCATTGTCTGCCCACTCTAGCCCTGAAAAGCCCAGAACTCCTTTTCTCTAGTCATCGGAGAGTGTGGCAGACATGCACACGTGCTACTTAGATCTCCACGAAGAACACATTGCCCAGCTGCCAGGAAGCCGTCCACTGACAGAATGCAGCCTCCAACCATTTCAGGTCCACTTCTTGATCTTCTGAGGGTGCCCCGGATGATGACTGAACTGGGTCAGGGTGCACAGGCTCAGCCATTCGCCACCCCCCACACACAGGTTCTTGGAACAGGCAGTCTTTGCTCCTGAAGGCCCATGGGACTACAGCCCCCTGCATGATTCGACCTCCTTCCTTCCTTCCTTTCACATGTCTTACTTCTCTCCTGTACAACTGGAACTGAGCCCCCAAACAGCACCTCATGTGCACATGCTGGATACCATCAGGCACCAGTCTGCTAGCCGCTCTCCCTTAGCTTAGCTCACTGAACTGAGGGAGTGGGACAGCTGACCCTACAAGATTCTAATTGCTGGACTCATGGGATCATTTGCTTCTCCAATTGATAACATGTGGGTGACCAGTATTATTTCAAGTGGAGGGTTCTGTTTCGGATAATTCCAAGTCTGGGCAGGGGAATTCCAGGTCCTAGGCAAGAAGATAGTGGCCCCCAGGCTGACTGAGTCCATGTGTCTGTCACATCAGCAGAGTGCCTTGATGCATGAGGGGTGGACTGCTGGCTTCCCACTCACCCATGTCCTAAGGTGCACATTGCCTTGTTCCTTATCTCAACTTCTCTTGCAGACAACCAGAACATGAAAAAGAGAAGGAATGTACAAGCTTTGATGCCTGCCTGAAGACCACCATGCACCTGCCTCCATCCTTTGCCCCCATCATTCCTGACTCCCCCTTCCTTGTAGTCTCTTCAAAAATCCCCCAAATACCCTCATTTAACAGAGTCTACTTACCCCCTTATCTACTGACAGATTAAATGTTCTCCTTTACCCCAAAACCTTGTCCTCATTATTTTAGTTTGGCACTAGGAACAGGGACCAAGCTTTTGATGACATAACCAGTCTCTACATCCCAGGAGACCCAATAGACATAGAGATGTTAATCATTATAGCATGTAAGCCTCTGTTTTGTCTTGTATTTCCATAAAAGACCTTTGACAGTCTTCCAGAAACCATCTTTGAATATTGGGATCCTTATCTTTGAAGCATAAAGATCCATAGTACAGATTCCTTTCCATTCTCTTTCCCACAGACTTAACTCCCATCAGTTTTAGCCATTGCTTCTCAACTAGCTGTCATTTGAGACTCACCCCGGAGACTTTTCATTGTAAGAATGCCCAGGCTGTGTGTGTGTAAAGCTGCCTTTGGTGGTCTGAGATGCACCAGTGGTTGTAGCATGAACTTCACCTTGTTTCAGTCTCTTCTAGAGATTAGCATTCATCCTGTTGAGGATCATTCCAGAAGTGAAAAGTGCACATGCATTATGTGGTCCAATTAAATGCTCTGAGTTCACTTCCAGATATTTGTAAAAGTCTAGCTTGTCATGCAATAGACTCCTTTTGAAGCATGATCAATCTTCTTAGAAAATGTTATAGGAAGATGCAGGAAATCTTGGGATCATTTTCACTTTGGAAGAATTAACCAAAACCACCAAAGTTACGGGGTCATAAATGTCCCTGGTCACATAGGGCTGGGGCATTTGCCTTCCATAGAAACTGGAAATATCATAGCTGCCTCTTGTCCTTCCAGGTTCCTGGTGTCACTGCTGTTCAGGAACCATGACTTTGATCTCATTTCACAAACCAAGGCCTTGGGAGCATCACCTGGGCTCCCAGTCTCTCTCCCATGCTACCTGTTGAGAGCCGACTCACTTCAGCAACAACAGAGAATATCACTCTTCATGCTTTCTGGATTCTGAATAAAATGTCCCGTGGTGACCTTTGTTCAGGTTTAACAGTGCTTTCAGGCTCCAGGACTTTTGTTTCAAGGCAAACCTTGTGTCTAAAAATTCATATGAGCTGGGACTCCCTGGGGACTGAGAGGCCCTAACCTCCCAGGGATAGCAGTGTTGGAAAGGAAAGGGAGGATATCTACCCAAATGTAAAGTGTACTCAAAAGGAACAAGTTGGTATTTTAACAAGACTTCTCGGTATAGCTTTAGGGTCAAAGAGACACTAGGGAAGTCGGAGGGGATGCAGAGGCGGGAGCACAGCGCCTAGGGGGAAGCATTCTCTTTACACAAGTTGAGCCTTCCCCGCTGGAGCACGCTGGAGGGTAGAGCGGCCGAGCGCACTGAGAGAAGACCGGCGCTGGGGAGTTCTGACGAGGCGCGGAGCAGGAGGCTCCTTCGTGCCTGCGCTGGGCTCTCCCTGCACACTCGGCAGCACAGGGTCACGTGCACACTTCATGCTTCCTGAGCTCTGTACGGAATCCGCTCCTCCTCTAAGTGCACTGATCAAAACTTCCTCATCAGGAAAGCTGCCCTCGCGGTCAGTGGGCAGCAGCACCCTGTGGCAGAGAGGTTGTGTGTGTGTGTGTGTGTGTGTGTAAGCTTCCCTTCCTCCCTCCGGCATCGTTATTTCAAGGATTAGTGGAAAATGCTCAAGGTAGGTATGCAAAGTGTTGTGCAAATAGGGACTCTTATTTTAAACAAAAGCCTCACGTTAGGATCGGGTGAGTATTAGCAGACTAGCACAAAGGCCCTGCGGTTGGGGATACCGATCAGACGGGCCACATGCAGCTGGACTTCCTGCTCCTCACTTACCGACTGGGAGACTTTGGAGCAGTTCCACAGCCCTCTGTGTTCCAGCTACCTCACTGGTCATACCTACCTCTTAGGAGAGGCGCTCACGCGGGAGAAGCATTCCGCACAAACCATGATACGTTGTGCCCAGTAAATGTGCGCTCTGATTATTATAAACCAGGGCTGGCACCGAAGTTGCCAAACCACAAAACACGGGAAGGAGGTGACTCTGGGGAAGGGAGCTGGGGGCAAGGGCTTTCCAAGGAAAGCATCCAGAAAAAAAGTAAGAGAGCACCCTAGGACCCAGCAGACACCCGAGACCGCGTGGGGAGTCAGCACTCCTGCTCCGGGCGTATTCCCATGTGTCTCTATTAACTGCAACATAATTACCCACGGCCCAGCAGCGTTCTGGGCCGCAGTTTTGGAAGCATCATCACAGATCATTCGTTTCCAGGTACAAATTCACTTGTGACAACTGTGCATTCACACCACACGAGAGGCACTGGACATGCAAAGAACATCATCTCAAAATGCAGCAAAGTCGAACTCTTGGGAAGATGCAGGTGGAGGGAGGGGTGGGTGATGGGTCTCAAATGCCTGGGCCGCAGGTGGGATAATTCCGGGGCTGGGCAACCACAGAGGGCTCTGGGCTGAAGCACATTCCATTATGAGTGGAGTGGATTTCCAATGGAATGACATGGATGGGTTCTTAGAATCAGAAAAGCACACTGACCTTCACACTACACAGGTGCAGCAGCATAATGACCCACCACGTGTACACGCATCAATTCCTGGGGAAAGTCCAACGAGGTTAACTTAGTGTGTGTCCCAAGAAAACAGTATCAGTGACATCACCCCTCCAAGAACATTGTGCCCCCCACCCTCACCAACACAGCTGACCTAGAGGAAGCACAAAAGGATCATATTCATCTTAATAAAACAGAGAAGATGAAGCAAGCAACCTATACATGCCATAATTTAATTTGGATTTTAAAATTTAACTTTCTAAATTTTTTTTCTTTATTTAAGAGGCAGAGCCACACAGAGGGAGAGACAGAGAAAGAGGTCTTCCATCCGCTGGTTTACTCCTCAAACGACTGCAGCAGCCAGGCTGGGCCGATCCAAAACCAGGAGCCAGGAGCTTCTTCCAGGTCTCCCACACTGGTGGAGGAGCCCAAGCACCTGGGCCATCTTCTACTGCTTTCCCAGGCCATTAGCAGAGAGCTGGATTGGAAGTGGAGCAGCTGGGACATGAACCAGAGCCCACATGGGAATGCCTGCGCTACAGGCAGAAGCCTAACCTACCACACCACAGTGCCGGCCCCTCAAATTTAACTTTTAGGAGTAAGAATCATGGGCCTAGAGAAAAAATATTTCCTTCTCAACACAGAAGGATTCAGTGTGGGGATGTGGGGAGAAGGAAGTTCTGTGCTGCTGGCCCTTTGAGAAAAGTACTCGAAAGTCTCTCCAGATGTGCTCTGCTCATAAAATCCCTCAGCCACAATGGAAAACTTTATCTACAGTTGCACTACTGAAAACATTGCAACGGAGGTCGTCACCTTTACCCACTCAGGCATTTCTTCAGGAGGGAGCACCCTCCCCTTACACGTATAAGGGGGTTCCAAAGGCCCATGGAGAGATATGCTAGGAAAACCATGCGTGAATTTCAAACAATTCTACACCAAAGTAAACTGATAATTTTTATTCCATTTTCGCAAAACTTTTTAAAGCATCCTCTTGTCTAGTAGAGCCTGGACAAGAGTGTTGTCTAGCACAGTCTCTTAACCCCCAAAAGGCAATCACCTTGGTATCACTAGTTGCATTTTTGACACTTTAGTATAAGGCAACTGTGTCAGAAATTAGCATGAGAGGACTTGAACAGACATGCCAGGGAAATGAGAATTGCTGATGCTGTCTAACAGGCTCCTCTTGACCTCCTCTGGGTGGCATCTGGGTCATGAGTCTTTCCTCTGATTTCACAACTTCATCTTCTGTAGTTCAAGCTGCCATGACAGTCATCAATATAACCTGATTCTGGAGAGAAACACTCTATGATATCAGCATCCTGGTGAAATCTGGAGCTTTGCCGACACACGAGACTGAGTAAGAAATGAGTAGCAAGTTTGCATTTAGGGCACATGGATTATATTCTCCACTCTGAGAAGATGGGAACAGGAGGGAAGGGAAATACAGCATCCCCGAGCTGCTGTTTGCCTGCCACATGCTCTTGCAGTACACAGCCCAGCATTCCCTTCCCCGCCCTTTCCCTATCACAGCCGGTGGCTTCCCCACTGCTTCTTAGGCTGCTCCAACCCTGACCCATCCCTAGGCTCCTCTGCGTTCACCTGTTCCAGGTTGGAGGACCCCAGATCTTCAAACACTCACATTAGGGGCCCGTATTCTGCCCGTACTCTCTGAATTCCCAAATGTCTGTAGCAGCTCAGCATGCCTATAAGAAACCCAAACCCACAGGGGCACCTCAGGATCACTCCAAACATGGTGACAACAACTCGGGACCTTTGTCCTCAAGCCATTCCCTCTTGCCCCAAGCTCAGACTCAGCTGTTGTTCCTCTGCCCACCTAGAACTCCCTCAAAATCTGACTCCTCTTTCTCCCTGCCGTCATTTTGTACATCTAAGCACTGCGTTCATTTGCTGCTACCTCTTTATTCTACTAGACTTCATCTGTCTCTCACCGTTTCTCCCTCCTCCACAGTGGCCCAAGCTACTTACTCCTATTCAAACCCAGCCAACCCTAACTGAGCTCCCCAAGCCCACCCTTGCCCCACTGCATTCTCTACAGTGGGCAGATGCTTTGTTGACAAATAAAAATCTTGGGGCAGTTGTTTGACACAGCGGTTAAGAGGCAGCTTGGGAATGTCTGCAATCCACCTGCTAATGCACACCCCAGAAAAAAGTAACTACCTACCTGCCTCCCTGTCTCTTTCAAAATCAGTAAGTGTAAGAAAACAAGAAATCTGATCTGGTCACTCATTGGCTTTGGCGGCTTTACACTTCCTCTAGGCTAAAGCTCTAAATACCAGCTTGAGACTTACTACACACACACACACACACACACACACGATAGGTCCAGCTCTGACCCCTCCCTGGACTTATTGCTGCCTCCATCCTCCCTACCTGTGGTGCTCTGGCCACCTCTGGAATCTTGCAGTCTCCTAAGGCACTCCCTTCTTCCTCCCCTCTGCCAGACATGGGCTTCCCACAGTGCCTTCTCCTCCTCCTCTGCCCCTTGCAGCACACGACAAATGCCCCAGCTGTAGTAGCCTGCAGTAATTTTGACATTTAGACAATAAGTCTAGTGAGATATTTACATAATTAACTTTCAGTGTGCAACTGGCAAAGTTGACTCAGATTCTCTAGGGGCTGGGACTGTTCTCCTCCATACTCAGCATGGAGCCTGGTACAAGGGCATGTTGACCATGTCCCCTAAGAATGTGATGAATGGGTGAATGACCAGGGACCAATGAAGTACTGAGGAACTCATGGTTCAAACACTATTGGTTTAAACAGACATTAGGAAAGTAGAAGAGAGAAAAAAAAAAAAAGCTTGTTATCTATTTAGCATTATTTACTAGGCTTTTAGCCCTGGAAATACTAGTGTATTTCACTTTACTGTTATTTTGTTTCTCTCTTGCTAGTTTACTAACTGTGAAACTTGATTCTTGCAAAGGAATGAGGGAACTTTATAGAGACGATGAATGGGAATTAAAAAGGATCCAGTTCTAGACACCAACTCTCACTCTCCTACAAAAAGGGTCTGGAGTCCAGGAAAGCAAGGAATCAGATGGGAACCAAGCGACCTGTCCTCACGCAACAACCAGGTTAGTGCTTCTACTGCCCGCTTCTGCCTGCCTTCAGCTTCCCAGGTCAGCGCACTTCTCCACTGCTGCCACATGGGAGTCACCTGACTGCAGAGAACACTTAGACTGCCACTCGGGATGCCCACACCCGCTCACAGAGTGCCTGGTCTGAGTCCCAGCTTCTCCACTTCCAATCCAGCTTCCTGCAAATGCAAACCTTGGGAGGTAGCAGGTGATGGCTCAAGTTCTTGGATCTCTGCCACCATGTGAGAGACCCATATGGAGCTGCTGGATTTGGCCTGGCTCAGCCCTGGCTGTGCAAGCATTTGGGGAGTAAATCAGCAGAAAGACCATTTTATCTTTCTTCCCTCACCTCCCCTCCTCTTGCCTTTTCAAATAAAGATGACATAAAATTTCTATTTGTTTTCCCAGCCTTTCAAATAAACTCCAGCATTCCCTTCTTCCTGTCAAGCAAACCCTAGCCCAGTGCTCACCACCTGGTAAACAGTCGTACTTGCTGATGGATGGACCAACCAGATACATGTTCTGCAAGGGCATATCTATCCAATAAGAATTCCAAGTCCACCACAATAACCTCCTTTGGAAGGACAAATAAAGCTCAGCCCACGTGTATGCTTTGGAAAAAATTTTGAAGAACTTTCTCTTTAGAGATCAGAAAGTTGCACTTGCTAATTTAATAAAACTACTCATGTTGTGAGAGCCCAAGATCTTTTAAATATGTGTTTTCATTTTCAACTGGCACATACTAATGGTACATTTCATAGGATCTAGTGAGATACTTCAATACATAATACAACATATAATGATCAAATAAGGATAAGTAGCATTCCATCATCTCTAACAGTTATCATCTCTTTGTATTGGGAACATCCCAAATCTTTTCTACTAGCTATTTGGAAATATTTAATTAACTGTTGCCACCAGCTACTATGCTATGCTATAGAACATTAGCAGTTTTACCTCCCACCCAACTGTACCCCCTACCTATTAACTACAAACTCTATCAGTTGCAAATGGTTTCATCAGATCTCCTTTCTATCTGTGTCACAGAAAGAATTCCTCAGCTGACAGCCAGCATAGACAGGATGCTGGAAAGAACAGTTGCTACCTGGATTGAAAGTCCTGCTTTGAGCTTTGTGACTGTGAATCCATCAGTGGTACTCCAGATCAGAATGGCTTTGCCTCAATCTATTTCCCTGCATACTCGCACCTTGATTTCACTTAAATCTTAGCAGACAGAAGATTTGCAACCATATAACCTAATGGCGTTATTATCATTGAGTTCACTTTCCTGGGAAGAGATCTCTTCATGACATAGTACTTAATAGCATCATTTCAAGCTAATAGTGACTTGTGATGCCTTCCAAATTCAAGGCCCCTCTCCCTCTACTTTTGTAGATGCCCCCCTTAAATTTAAAAAGTCTCTGAGAAACAGGTCAGGATTTACTTGAAGAGTATGGACTTAGTGTCATAGCCAATGAGCTTTTCTTTGAAAAATATTTTATTCATGTATTTTAAATTTTCATTTATTTATATGAAAGGGCTTCAGAAACTTCATGGAAGATGCCCATTATCTTTTAATTCCACCTGTCTGTGAACATTTTGAACCCCTGTGTGTATGTCTCTAGTTTTGCGGTGTCTTCGTGATGGAACAATGATCCACAGAGGGAAAACAAAGATGGCTTAACTTTGAAGCTTCCAAGTTCCCTGAACTTCCCACTTGGGAACCATCCTGGTTTTAAGAAAGATTGACTCCAAGATGGTCAGTTTGGCCTTAAGAAGGGCAGGTCTAACTCCATGAGGCAGCACCAACTATATGACCACCTATGGGTGTGGCCTCCTCCCCATAGCACTAACCTCAGAGTCAAGAAGCACGAGGTCAGAATGAGGCCAAATCTCATAGATGAGGGTGGAGGGCAGCTCCCAGCCAGTCCTCTCTCTGGGGCTGGTGTCACAGCCACGAGTGAGGCCTCTCCCCACCAATTCCATCCTGCACAGGCTGCAATTTATTGCTGCTTAGCCCGTGGCTGTGTGCTTCTTCCCTAACCTTCATGCTCCCTTTGAAGCACATCTGTGACTAGAAACACTCCTCACAGAACTCCATACTTGGATAACCCTACAACAAAGCTGTCATCTAAGAATAATAGCTGATCCCAGGATATTTTCATTAAAAACAGATTTCAGTGGCAGACCATCAAAACATTTTCTCTGTACAATAACTGATAGGATGAGGCAGAATTACAAAGAGCATATGGGCTTCACCCCGCCCTCAGCAGCTAGAGGCTGCCTTCCACTGGTTTGAGTATCTCACTTAACTGCCTGTCGTGAGTGTGCAGACAGACACAGTCCCATCTGGTACTGTTCATGCTCCAAGTGAAGGAGGGGGAGGGGGGAGAGAGGGGAGGGGAGGGAGAGAGGGAGGAAGGAAGGAAGGAAGAAAAAGACTGATGAATCACATTTCTGCTTTTATTTTCAAAATCTGTCACCAGTTATCTTTTGAGAGTTGGGGTTTGCTTATAGTCTTATACCAGGCTCAGCCAGAGGTATCCAACAGTTTTTAAATTTAGTTTTTATTTATTTATTTGAGAGAGAGAGAATCTTTCAATGGTTCCCTTCCAAATGCCCACAAGGTCTAGGACTGCTCACTTAGGATGCTTCCTGGCACATAGGAAACTGCAGCAGTGCTTGCTAGTAGACGTCACCACAGTACAAATATTCTTAATCCCTCAAATAAGATCAGATGTGTAAAACAAGACCAACACAATGTGGGAGGTGGTCAATAAATGTTGGGTGAGGGGTGATGTTTGGCCTAGTTAAGATGACACTTGGGATTCCTCTGTTCCACATCAGAGTACCTGAGTTAAATGCACACCCCCAGCTCCTGACTCTAGCTTCCTGCCAATTCAGACCCTAAAATGCGGGATGATGGTTCATGTGATGGAGTCTCTGCCACCCATTTGGAGACCTCAACTGAATTCCCAGCTCCCAGCTTCAATCCAACCCAGCCTTGGCTGTTGTAGAAATTTGGAGAGTGAACCAGTGGGTGGGAGATCTGTGTGTGTGTGTGTGTGTGTCTTTGCCTTCCAAATGAAAATAAAAAACAGAAAATTTACAAAAACACCCATGAGTATTTTTAGTGGGAATAAATAACAAATGAATATGGGATAGTTTTACACATTAAATTATTCCATCCAGAAACACAATCTGTTTTTCTGCTTATTAAATTCCTGTTTTGATTTTTTAAATTAATATTCATAGCTTTCTTCATGTAGGTCATACAAAGCCCCTGCTGTTTTGTAGTCTCTGTTTTCTTTTTCAAGAATTCAAAATATTCTCTGAAGTTATCATAGATTTGGGCTAAGAGTTCCCTTTCTTATTCTGCCTTGTTTTGTAGTAATGATCCCTCTTCCCTTCCTCTGTCTTTCAGAATCCTTTGTCAGCCTCTTGTCCATCTCCAGGAGTTAAACACAGCTCCTGACCTGGGGTTCAGGCAGGGAGGGCAGAACCATACCCGCGCCCCCTCTACAATAAGGCACAGCTCCTTCCCCTGCAGTGCTCCTCTGAGTGGGGTGTGTATTCTGTGGAGCTCATCCCAGGTGAGGAATTTGGCATGAGCTCTGCCTCTTCCTGCTGGGTTCCCAGGGGCCAAGCTCTGGACTCCCTTGCAAGCCCCCGCCCCAGTCCCAGGTGAGGGCTCTCCCCAGGTGTTTTCAGGGCAGCTGTGGCTGGGCTTCTTAGGGTCTACATGTGATCTCTGACTCACCGTCATGCAACTTACTATTATTCAGCTTTACAGTTGGTGCCAAGGTGCTACGCATTCAGGAACAGCCTAACTCTGACTTTGAATGTTGATCTTTCCCCAGGCGATGGATGTGAGCACCTACTCTCCTGTGATGCCGGGCAACAGCAAGGCACTGCAGTTCCTTCCCAGTTGTGTGGTCACGAAGATAAACAACTGATACTCCTAAGTGTACTGTGTTGCCAGCCTACAATGTACACTAAAGGCTTTTTTGGTTTACAATATGCTCAACTTACAGAGGTTTTATTGGATGTCTCTATCAGAGGCAAGAAGCATCCATAGTGAAGTCAACACTTGGTTCAGGACCATGGCTCTGGCAAAGGATTGGTGCAGTGTGTTAGTTATTAGCTAACTTGAATCAACAAGGTTAGGTGGAGGAAGCCTGCCCTGGGCCCCAGATCATGAGAAAATCTGACCTTTTTTCTTCTTATTTGTTGTACATGTACAAGGAGGCTTCAGAAAATTTGTGGGAAGATGGAATTACAAACTAAGTTTATTTGGGAGCAAACAAACCTCAAATACCTGTATAGTTTTTATAATATTAACTTTTATAAACTTTTTGAAGACATATCATATGCATCGATTTCAAACTTTTGCACCAAAATAAACATTTGATTCCAATTTTCATGATCTTTTAAAATATCCCCATATTTTGTTCTAGGGCCTCACATGATTCATTCAAATAATTCAACAAATGTTTGAGGGTCAACCACATGCCAGGCACTGCAGATGAGACAACGTATTAGTGCAAGCCCTGCATGTGCAGCTCACATCTGAGGGGCGGCAGTAACAATCTACACAATAAATAAGTAAAATGTGCAAGTTGGAGAGTGGAAAATTTTGAGAAGAAACAACAAAGAGATGAAATGTGAAGATGTCGGTAGACATGAGATATTCATGGGTCTTTGGGGAAAGCTTCAAAGATAAGGAAACTCAGAAAAGACCTGAAGGAAGGAAAGGAGATTTCCATGTACACCCCAGGAAAAAGCATTCCAGGCAAAGGGAACAGCCAGTGCAAAGGTCCTGAGGTAGAACAGCATCTGGGATTCCTGAGAAAAGGCAAAGAGGCCAGGGTGACCAGAGCTCAGAGAGTGGAGTGGATCACAGAGGAGCAAAGTCTGGCCTCTCGTTCATCGGACCTGATGTGCACGGTGGTGGGGAGTCAGTGGAGAGCTCTGAGGAGGGAAGTGGCATGATCTGGCTGTCACCTGCGGGGCTATGGCTGCTGGTTTAAGATGGGAAGGCAAAGGAGGAAGTTGGGAAATACTGTGAGAATCTTGGCCAGATGTGAAGGGGGTGGGAATGGGGTGGGACCAGTGTGTGCTGGGGCAGGGGGGCGTTGCGGAGGGCAGAGAGTTTCACCAGCAGGGCTGTATTGCACGTCACTGGCTGGCCTACCACTTGCTTAGCAATCCCTATATCATGTGCAGCTTGCTGCTTGCTGCTCCTAACCTGCAGTTCATCTGACTACCTGGGGTGAAGCTTGATTCTAGATGATACGAAGTAGCATGTCTTTCCTGTGCCAGAAACTATAATCTGGTTCCCTATCTCTGTCTGCCTTTCTATTGTGAGTACCACAGCCTCTGTCATTCCCCTTGTATCTCTATATCCACTTCCAGCTTTGCTGCACTCGGGGGAACTCAAAAGGCCCGATGCAAACAAGCATATGGAGGCTTGATGGCTGCTTGGTGCAGGCCGGGAGCTACCAGAGGCAGGAGAAGCAGGCTTGGGGGAGGGGTCTCCTCTGAGCTTCAGGTCTTACTTTTTCCTGGAAACCAGTTGGGGAGTCAGGTTTACTGATACCAGCTCCTAGGCTCCAGAATAGTGCCAGTTGGCATCACTCGAGGGACTTTCATAAAATCATTTTCATAGAAGTTGTTTTGGGTTGTGGGCGAGGCAACCAGTAACATCTATCACTACTGACCAGTGAAACTCACAACTGGATATCACCATCATCTTTTTCAGTAGCACATTCTTAAAGATACTAAGATGCACAGGCAGGGGTAAGCATTGGGGCACCCACATCCCATACTCGAAAACCTAGGATTGAGTCCTGCCTTTGCTTCTGATCCAGCTTCCTGCTAATGCAGCTGCAAGGCGGCAGAGGTGACCCAAGTACTTGAGTTCCTGTCATCTACATGACCCAGATGGAGCGCCTGGCTTTGACTGGGCCATGTGCCAGCTGCTGTAGGTGTTTGGGGACTGAGACAGAGGATGGAAGATCTTCCTCTCTCTCATTCATATTCGCCCTCCCTCCCTCCCTCCCTCCCTCCCTCCCTCCAACAAATAAGTAAGCTTCAAAAAGTCAAATCCACAGGTGTATACTGACCCAGATATATGTGACTGAGTACCCAACTCTCGTCTTTTCCACATAGCTTCTAAAAAGTCCCAGGGACTAAATAAGTTATGTCACTTGATAGTAAGTATCGAAAGCCTATAAGGCATGAATATTGTAATACTCAAATTATGATTTCTTTGGTAACTCAATTGTTTTCATGTTGAAGGTGTACACAAACATAAAGAGTCTCCAGGCATCACTTGCCACACCAGCCTGGAGGCTCTGGGAAGTGAAGCCAACCAGCTGGGTTGGGGGGGAAGCGTGAGACTCTGACCCTCAACACAATGCACCAGCCAAGGGAGAACTGTGGGCCGGAGGGGAATCCTCTCCCCAACTCGGACACCTGGGTCTCTAGAAATGAACAACCACCAGGACATTAACAGTCACGGATGCAGGAAAATCACACTCCGCGAACACTTCCACACATCCAGTGTCATGAGCAAATGCCCTTGGTTTAAGTGACAATCAATGGTCACCTTAAACACGGAAACTTCTGGAAGAATCCATCTTCTCAGAAGGTGGTTTTCAGTCCACGGAGCCCTTTGCCTTCTCTCCAACCTTTCTACATTCCAGAATAAAGGTCTCTTTCCTCTCCAGATGGAGGAGGGATAGATATCCCGATACCTACTATATAAGCTCTGAGAGTCATAATTTCAGGGTTCCTGTCCTGTGGCACAAGCCCTTGAACTGGCTCTCATCACTTCATTCCATGGGAGCCAGGTATGGGCAAATTATAAGATTGCTGTAGTCATTGATATATTCTGATTCAGCAGCTTCATTATTTTATCAGAATAAATAAATAAAATACACATAAAAACTGAATAAAAAGAGTAGTCTGTGAGGGTAATGGCATTCACTATCACTAGCACATTATAGTGCCCCATCCAGCATCCTGTTCTCCTCTTTAAAGGCTCCAACACCTGTGCCCACTGCCCTGCGTGTGACTTGCTCGTGCTTCCTGTGGGGAGAAGATACACCCCCCACCACCTCATGGCATTAGACTTGGCCATGTAGTATAGAATATGCTTTGGCTAATTAAATGTGATGTTCATTTCTGAGCAAGTAGTTTCAAAAAGTGATAGAAGGCTCTATCCCTCTTGTACCCATCCCCTTCCCCATGCAAACAGCATGTTCTAGATTAGGCTATGCTTTCGGCCAACACTTCAGAAGGAAGAAGACACATGCAGCACATCTGATCCAAGACCCAAAATATGTAGGGGAGCTGCAGCTGCCCACAGCTTAAGTGTGATGTGAGGAGAAATAGAATTGTGTCTGTGTAAGACGGCGATGGCTGTGGGTGTTTATTTCACACCCTAACGGACAAATCAAATGTCAACCATTGTGTACCTAGCCGCCATTTCTACCCCTCCTCTGAATCAAATCCCGCTGCTCAGAGCAAGGTGGCCCATCGTTGCTCTTTTATGCCAACCAGCACTTGCCAGTTCCCTAACTCATTTACTTTGAAGGCAAGGTCTGATGTCCATGAGTGGGCAGGGATTTGGACACAAATATAGACTTGGAAGGTAGCGCTGAGAGGCATCTTTCTCCTGTCCCTTGAAATATCCCAGTCAACCAAGTCCTCTGCTTATTCTTTTTGCATTTGCTGATCTCCTTCTTTTAGCAAAATTTCCAAGCTCTGTCTGTCTTTAGGACCAGTTCTCTCTGGTTACTGTCAACTTCCAGATCTAATTACTCCCAGAGATTATAATGTCAGAGCATGTTTTCGGTGTCTTCTTGAGTGTTGTCCACAAGGACTGGATCCTCTGCTAACAACAGAAGACAAAGTGGTACTACTCTCTGAAATTACAGTGCTGTGTTACTGGTATGGATTCAATAGGAAATTCCCATTTCTTTTCTTTACTTTGGATTTTATCCCAAAGCTTAGAAAGTTGCATGCTAGAGTAAGAGTTGTCTCACACCCTAACAGCTGGGGAGGGAGTAGGGGGAAGACCTACCAGGGGATGTCATCCACCCCTCTTCACTGTTTATTATGGCCTGGAGATTCTACAACAAACTCACTAATGCATTTCACATAAATTCTCCAAATGTTCATATTTGGCTGTTTTTTCTTTCTTTTGACTTTTAGTATATACAAGGTACATGTAATTTATACAGGCATGCAAATTTATACACGCATACATGAAGATACTTTTTTTTTTTGACAGGCAGAGTGGACAGGGAGAGAGAGAGAGCGAAAGGTCTTCCTTTGCCGTTGGTTCACCCTCCAATGGCCGCCATGGCCGGCGCGCCGCGCTGATCCAATGGCTGGAGCCAGGTACTTATCCTGGTCTCCCATGGGGTGCAGGGTCCAAGCACTTGGGCCATCCTCCACTGCACTCCCTGGCCACAGCAGAGAGCTGGCCTGGAAGAGGGACAACTGGGACAGAATCCAGTGCCCCCACCAGGACTAGACCCGGTGTGCACGCACAAGCGAGATTAGCCTAGTGAGCCACAGCGCCAGCCCATGAAGATACTTTTAAAAGTTCAGGGAGAGGGGGAACTAAAAGATGTTTTATCTTGCTGCATAAAAACTTTGAATTCTGTACATATTGGGGCCTACAAAAAGTTCATGGGAAATGTGTTTTATGAAAAAATCTATGCCAGGATTTCAATTTTTTTTGCACTAAAATAATCTTATCTATTTAAAACATTATGTGTTTTATGTGAAAATCCAAGTGGCAGAGAAAGGAGGGACAGAGAGGGAGATATCCCATGCTCTGGTTTACTTCCCAGATAGCCACAGATGCCCCACAGAAGCCAAGCTGAGCCCTCAGTGTCATGCAGGCATCAGGAGTGAGGATGTCAGCTGACAGTGGCAGCTAGGGGAGTCTGCCAGATTTCTCTACTTGAAGTTGCTATTTCTTCTTCTGTAGTTGTAAGTTTCTTATGGAGAAATATGAACACACTCCATAAACTTCATCTAATTCTCTTGGTATTCGTTTATTATTTTCATCTGAATCCATAATTTTTTTGATGGTCCTAGGTCCTTTTTTTAAAAACAACTTTGAATGTCATCTTTTAAGGTCTACTTTCCTTGGCAATAGATTTGATGATCAGAGTCACTGATTTCACTACATTGTAAAGCATCTGTGACAGCCAGTTTGGGTATCCACTTGACTGGACTGAGGAGTACCTGGACATCTGTAAAAGTGGTATTTTGGTTGTGTCTAAGGGATATTTTCAAATGAGATTAGCATGGGAGTCTGAGTGCTTGATGTGGGAAGATCTGGCTACAGTGTGGGTAGGTACCATCAGTTAACAGGCAATCCGGAGGGACCACATCAACTCTAACCTTAGACATCAGTTGCTGGCCTTTGGACTCAAGGCCTCTCATCAGGGTGCTCCGCCTTTCAGCTTCAAACTGAGTTACACCCTCAGCTTCCACAGGGAACCTGTGCTGATGCGTGGTGCCAGCAGCCCAGGGTATCAACCCCGAGACTTCTCAGTTGCCCCAACTGCATAAGACAATTGCCCCAAGAAGTCCTCCTTCATAGACCCATATGCATCGTCTACTGATTCAGTTCTGCTAGAGAACACTAACACAGCACCTTTCTGAATAGTGAGCTTCTACTTGATGTCAGCTGGAAGCAAAGACTTCAGTAAGGGAAGGTGATGAGAGGCCAACAATGGAAACACATTCTATTTGCCAGGAAGTGAACAGTGATTAAATTTCTCTTTTAGTTATAGTAGGCACTTCACATCTGGTTTCAAATAGCACTTTTTGTTTTTAATTATAAAAGCCATTCATTCTTACTGTGGGAAATCTGAAAGCAAGGAAAAGCAGTAAACAAAAGGAGACACTCAAGGTCCAGTGTTCACTATTGTTAACCAATTTGGTAGATTCCTCTTGACCATTTTTCCTTTTCTTTACACTTAAGATGTCTTACATATACACCTTTATATCACAATTTTTCAATAAAATATAAGCATTTCCAATGTTAAAATATTTTGATAAATAAATTTTAGTGGATACCTATTTCTTCCTGTTTTGGACACTTACATTGTTTATATTTCTGCTATTGGGTAACGGTGATATATTTTCATGTGCAAAAAATATTTTCTGCATTTTTCTTTACTTCCACAGGAAAGATTATGTCCTGACACACGTATTAGGGTTAAAGGCCAGGGACAGATATTTCCAAGTGGCCTTACAAGAAGGCTTTACCAGTTCACCCCAAGTAGCAATCTGTATAAGGATCCTTCTCCCCCAAGTGCTGAGGACAGCACTGTGTGTCCTCACTGTTCTTTTTATCTCCCAGTTTTACACATTTTTTATCTTCTCTTAGATATTTGCATCACCCTTTGAATGTGCTCTGTGCTTCCTAAAAAAAACCAAGCTTTGTCTAATATACTTGTTGCAAGTATTTTCTCAGCGTGTTATTTGTCTTTTAATTTTGTGTAGTTAGCTACTTATGGAAGATTTCCAAATTTCTGTAGCCAAAGATATCTTTCTAATATCAAAACATTAAAAGGAACCAGAAAGTCCAACTCATCCCCCCTACCTATATAGAGATAAAAATGGGAGATTCTAAAAAGGTTTGTTGAAAATGCACATTTTCTTTTAAGACCATTTTCCATGAACTTTTTGAAGCCAACTCATTATATCTGTATGCATAAAATATCTTACATAGCACAATTTTGAAAATATCACCTTAAATCCTTTTGTAATTTATTTCGGGTGCATGTGAATAACTTACACTGCATTACTGGTACCTGTAAGCCCTTATCATATTTCAGATTTTTCCATGTGCTAGAGTTGTGCAGTTTTGTGAATCTATTATTCTGTCTGGACTCAGAATCACATTTCACTCCTCATTGTAGCTTTAAAAGATGGTGGTGCTAATACTGCTCTTCTTTTGCCTTCTTGAAATGTATCTTTTCTGTGCTATTCCTTCTTTCA